CTGGGACTACAGGTGCTAGCCACTATGCCTGGCTAATTTTTTCTATTTTTTAGTGGAGATGGAGTCTCACTCTTGCTGCGGCTGGTCTTGAACTCTTGACTTCAAGTTATCCTCCTGCCTTGGCCTCTCAGAGTGCTAGGATTACAGGTGTGAGCCACCATGCCTGGCCTCAAGGATTTATTCTTGAATCAAATCCTTTGGATTGCTAAGTGGTTCTTACATTATCTCTTTGAGGCCATATAGTTTAAATGACCCACGAGTATGACCCGAGGTCCTAGAATCTTAGTTTGAATCTCAACTGTGCCACTTACTACTCTAAGAAAATTACTCATTTTGCTATTTTTGTTTTCTGAGGTGTAAATCATACAATAGCTATTGTGGTGGTCTCTTCATCATCCATTCTACTCCTGACTACTATGTTTGAGGATTGATCCTGATTTTAAGGATAGCCGCTGATTAGCCCAAGTTAGTTTTTTATCATTCCAATCCCTTCGTTAGGGGTTGGTTCAGGAAGCTAGGCCTAAGTTAGTCAATACATGGCATTCCATAACTGAGGAAGGTATTACCAGGAAACACTTCCATAAATGTGTGGCAGTGTGGTAGAAATGGGATAAGGCCTGAAGAGAGGAGGAACGAGTCTTTGGTCAAGATTTCATTAGGCTGACTGGGGAAGACTTCCTCAGAGAGCCTACTTGAACTATTCTGCAGAAATTTGCCTCTCCTGATTTGTACCTCATTTGAGATAATCTAAATTCCTGACAGTTTGTTCTATTTTACTTTTATTTTGCTAGTCTTATTATGTAATATTGAAAGTGTACTAAAACCTTCAGAGAAGGATTGTTCTTTATTAATCATTTTTAAGGTGCAGGCAGAGCGACGGGCCAGTGAGGAAGAAGAAAACAAAGCCAGCGAAGAATACATACAGAGATTATTGGCAGAGGAGGAAGAGGAGGAAAAAAGACAGTCAGAAAAAAGGCGAAGAGAGATGGAAGAACAACTGAAAAGTGATGAAGAACTGGCAAGAAAGCTAAGCGCTAATATCGTAAGTTTTAGGAGAGAACTTTTAAGTACTATCTGTGGGAACTGGTTCCAAGACCCTGTGGATACCAAATTTGTGGGGCTCAAGTCCTACAGTCAGCCCTGCAGAACCCCTGGTACGAAAAGTCGGTTCTGTATCTGAGCATTCTGCATTCCATATGTACTGCATTTTCCACCTGAGGTCGGTTGAATCCAGTTGGAAACCTGAGGATATGGAAGGCCAACTGTTAATATTCCTATTGCTTTGACTGGTTTTCAAAGAACTAAAGAAGCAGCAGTCACCATAATTAGAAGCTATCGCTGATATCTTCTAAAACAAAACAAAACTTTTTTACATGTTGCATATTTACTCTAATCCAGGTTATTTATTTATTTATTTATTTATTTTTTACCTCCCTGCCACCCCCACCCTGGGCACTGACCCATCTCAATTTGAACTAGCCACATTTCAAGTGTTCATTGG